TGTTGAAAAAAAATTGCCATGTTATTTAATATTTTAATCCTATTTATTTGTTTTTTGATCTATTTATTGAATTCTATTTATTTGATATTTGCTTCTTGGTTGCATCTTTGGATCTTTGTTAGCTATTATTGAGCTAAAAGTAAAAGTCATAGCATTCTTTAACTTTATTTTGCTATTTTTCGAGCTGTGCAGAAGTTTGATTTCCGCATTTTTATTTTTTTTCTCTATGCCGTATATTCAAATGACAGTTTTATTTCCAGAGACACCAGTAATTAACAATGAACTTCAAGGTTACCTATTTACCTATCTTCGTATTCAATTTTTTCTGATAAAGTTTTCCGATTTAGCGAATATCAAAAAGGTTCTGTTTCCTTGAGCTCCATAATTTCGTAATATATAGCTGAATAGGCTACATTTGAGCCATCTGTAAAAACGTGGAGCTGCATTTTCTCCGAAGGATGTATTACGAATCGTGGCAGTTCTTTCATGTGTGTTGGCCATTTCTTAATTAAGGAATTCTACATTTCCTTATCTTCTTTACTTATATCTTGGTCCAAAGTGTTATTTTTTCTCCATAAGTTTTGATTTGAATTGAATCATCGTTGGACCGAGAAATCCCATTGGATCGTATTGCGATGATATGAACTGTAAAATTGCTCTCTTTATCAGGTTCTTCTCATTCCATGGATTTAAAATGATTTGGAACACGTCTTTCTTGGGATTCCAATTAACACCAGGAATTTTCTTTAATTGGCTTACTTCTGCTCGATCGTTTTTCGGAATAATTTGGTTGAATTCGCTGTCATTTGAAAGAAATGCCCGTTGAGGCTTCTTCGAAGGTAGATTTTATTTGTTCATAATTCTTGAGTGCTTTTTGGGTTCCCTTTGTTGAAAATATAATATTATCAACGAAGAGATTTTTGCTGATTTCCAACGTAATTTTACTTCCGTGAGTTTCTAAATGAAAGTGTGGCTGATAGTAGAAAAAGGAATGATATTATTCCAAATGGAACTCTCTGAAAGCAATAATATGCCAGATTTTCTTCGTTAATTTCTCCTTAAATATCTTTTGGCCATAAAAATCGATAAAAATCGAGCAATTTCGTTCTGATGGGAATAGTTCCAATTATAGGAATGTCTTTTCAATATCAGCTATTATCACATTTTCCGTCATTCTGAAACGAAGTAACACACCTGCCAGGTCAGGTAATGTTGTAGGATCGCGCAAAACATCATTTAAACTTTTCATACCTTTAAGGTGGGCGAAGCATCATTACGATTCGGAGTTTTGTTGTTGATTTGCTTGGAGTTAATACCTCGTGATGCGGTAAATAATGTATAATACCAACCTGATTCATATCCGGTTTCACTTCTTCGATAATATTGAGTTGCATTTGTTCTTTAAATTATTTCGTTGTATCGGTTGAGCAGTGATTTGTTATTTTGGAGTCGTTTTATTAATGTTCGCAGTCGTCCAAGACAAAGACCATAGTTGTCCTGCAGGGTGACCTTTGAGTTTTTCCACGGCAAGTAGACTTGGTATCTTTTGTTCTTTTTAATGATGTTTTGTTTGAACTGTTCCAGGGCCTTCTTGGATATCTATTAATTCTAGTCTCCAGAATTGGTCTATTTCTGGAGTTGTGTTGACCGTGGTGACTTGAATAGAATTGATCTTCACAAGATCTCTCCCGAGTTCAAGTTGTTCTTCACTAAAACTACTAACCATGTTGGTATATCCACTTCCGGTTATTATTGGTCCAACCTTTGTGTTGATTAAGTAAAATCCTGATTTCATGTTATGGATTTCAAATCCTGATCGTTCGGCGACGTAAAGTCGAAGAAAATAGTCAGCTCCAGTAAGTAAATCGGGCTGCTTCCAATACCCACTAGCTTCATCTAGCTGTTCTTGACTTATCATACGCGGCATATCTTTACTAGTTGATTTGATGACTTGTAGTTTATCCGTTAAGTAATCTAATACATAAGTATTGATGATTATAGTTTAAATTGTAAAGTTCTTATTCCGACTTCTACTTTAGTAGTCTGACAAAACTTTGGAATTTGATTACTGAGTGAGAAGAGCTTTTTTTATGGTTCCACTCAACTTAAATCGTTCTGCTAACTTCTTCGATACGAAGGATGATTGTGAACCTGTATTAAATAATACTAGAATTTCCCCTTCAATTTCCGGCATGTTTGGATTAATTGCTTCTATTTCTTTACACAGCAATAAAACCTTCTTACCTTGGTGACTGATTGATTAACTTATTGAATTGGTAATAATTGCTGAATTTATTCATTCATTAATTTTGGGTAAGCCATATTTCATGTAGCACAAAACCGTATTATGTTGGCCTTTACAGTGGAAACATGAACATTTACTTTGATTACAACTGCATGTCCTCTCCGAAGACAATTCGTACAAGCACTTTTTTCTTTCAAACATTCAATCCGTTGTTGGATTATGGGATAATTTGGACATTCGTTATCCCAATGGTTTTTGTTGCAAAATGCACACGATCTTTTATCCTTGCTAATTTTCTTTGAATTAGTGATTTACTCGAGGCTTTTTGCATTGGCTAATTTGGATTGGTTTACTGTAACCAAAGCGGAGGTTTCTTCTCCTTTATTAGTGCTCTATTGTACACGTTTCGTGCTTTGTTGTGCTCATTTCGTGTTTTGTTCCTGACTATGAGTTTGACTTCTGTTTACTTCTTCATTTCTTTGGACTAATTTCATCAGGAATTCTCGAAGGTTATTGACGATCCAATCCTCCTTTTCTGTTTTTAATTGATAGATCTTAGATCCATGGTGGCAATCTACTTTTAATGGTAATTTCAATACTAGAATATTCTATGTTCTCAGCTATTGCTTCTAAATGTCGAAAGTAATAATGGCTTCTTTACTGTTATTAATTAAAATACCTTGTTTGTAAAATACCGTCGACCAGTTTTTCGTACTTCTCTTCTTTTCTCCTTGTTACTGTCGTTTTTTTGTTGTATAAGATGCAACCACTTTATAAGATGCAACCCCCCAACCACTTTATAAGATGCAACCCCCCAACCACTTTTAATTAATTGATTCTAACAAGCCGACGTACATTTCCAAACGTTTAATTTCGTCCTTGATGATCTGCTTCTTGATTTCATACTGTTGTCATATTTCTTCATTCGGCAGGTTTCGATCTGGTGGTGTTAAGTCAAGTTTCCTAACATCTTCGAGGAGCTTTGAGATTCTTTCGATAGTTGGTTGAGCTGATTTGGCTAAAGAAGTCGACATTACACCTCATCTCGGGCACCAAAAATTTTTGTCATGAAAATTTGAATTGAGTTGATTTGTTTAAGGTGGTTTGTCGATTGATTAGTTGAATTGTTGGTCTGCTGACGATTTTGTGTAACGATTTATTTAGTCAAATTCCTATAAGGATAAGGCGAGAATTTAAGCCAACAATAGTAACAACCACGATCGTTGTGAAAATTTGGGATATTTAAATTTTTAAACAGAATGTGATTAATGTAATGACACAAGCACAAGCAGATTAGTTACAAAAAAAGCTATAGGAAAGAATGGTTTTTACAAGAGAAATGTTAAGGACAAGTTAGCGAATATAAGCTAATCAAATGATTAAGATTAATCATTCGATTAGCTTATATTTGGGGATGAGGAAGAATATTTGAGATGAACGTTTAGATATGGAATAGTTTTTATGATAAGAATTTGCTAATTACATGAAACGTTGCAAAGCTTCATTACAGTCGCAAATCATTAGAAAATTCTTTTAAATTAACAATCATTTGATTATACAATTTTTAAAAAAAATACAATTACTTGACTATAGTTAATTAATTTCGAGTTTCCCGACAATATATGTATCTTTTGGAGCAAAAATTCTTAAAATTCAATCTTATTTTTGCAATAGTATTACATCTAAAATGAATTTTTTTCCTAAAACATAAGTCAAACAAATTAATGATAGTTTGACCCGATGGAAGTGATAAAATGCCCTATCACTGCAACTGAAATGAGCTAAAATTATCAAAAACCTTTGAATTTTAGAAAGAAATAAATTTGAATACTCCTCTCTTCCCTATCATTCCGCCCATTTGCAAAGGTCAAACAGAATGGCTTTGCTATGTGTGGAATGAATAGGTGGGACAATCGGTGGGTATGCTACTTTGATGAGATCTACTGATATTGATGAGGTTTTTTTCATTGAGCAGAATTGCTTCTTTATCTCTCCATCCCTCTCTATCTCTCTCCATCTTGAGAAAAAAAATTGCCATGTTATTTGATATTTTAATCCTATTTATTTGACTCTTGGCGACATCTTTGGATCTCTGTTAGCTATTATTGAGCGAAGGGTAAAGGTCACAGCATTCTTTAACTTTATTTTGCTATTTTTCGAGCTGTGCAGAAGTTTGATTTCCGCATTTCTATTTTTTTTCTCTATGCCGTATATTCAAATAACAGTTTTAGTTGTGATTTGTTTCCAGAGACACCAGTAATTAACAATGAACTTCAAGGTTACCTATTTACCTATCTTCGTATTCAATTTTTTGTGATAAAGTTTGAGACTTAGTGAAATTTCTTATGTTTTGAACTACAAAACGTAAGAAGCATCTCAAGAAGATCAGAGGTAATTTTCGTATAAACTGGATTATAAACTTAAAAAAGAATTCAAAAAAATTGTTTAGATTGGAATCATCGGAGGAACTGGTCTTGAGGACCCAAAAATATTTAGCGATACACAGGAATACAAAGTGAATACACCATTTGGTTCGCCATCAGATGTTTTGATCGAAGGGAAAGTAGGCAATGCTACCTGCGTTCTTCTGTCACGTCATGGTCGGGAACATGATACATCCCCAACAAATATCAATTATCGAGCAAATTTGTGGGCTCTTATGCAACAAGGTGAAGTTTTGTTTCATTAATAGTCGGCTAAATAGTTATTGAGAATTTTTCTGCATCACTCAGTGATTTGAATTAATTTAAAATTTTTGCATTCATATAATCATTTATTTTTACATATTTGCAAACTAATTGAACAAAATCATTTAAGGAGCAAAGGTCATTTTATCTACGGCGGCGTCGGGAAGTTTAAAAGAAGAACTTACACCGGGTTCATTTGTTTTTTTGGATTCCTTTATTGACAGGTGAAACAAACTTTTTTTTCATTTTTTTTTTTGATGCATTTTTCAGTTTCTGCGTGTTCCTAATTTGTTGTTTGATTTGAGAACATTCAAACGCGAAGTAACATTCCATGATGGTAAGGATGGCCATCCAAAAGGTGTATGTCATATTCCCTCTCATCCGGCATACAATGAAAAGCTAAGACAGGTGTGCTTAAACTTTGATTTGACAAAAATGCCGAGAAAACATCAGAAAAATTTTTGTTCGAGCACAAACTTTTTCAAGTGAATTTGATAAGTCATTTCTTACTTTATGCCTGTTTGGTTTTAGGTATTAATCTCATCTGCAGAGGAACTCAAATACAAATTTTTCAAAACTGGAACGGCAATATGCATTGAGGGACCACGATATTCTTCTCTAGCTGAAAGTGAAGTGTTCAGAAGTTGGAACGCTGATATTATCAACATGACTGTTTGTCCGGAAGTAAGCTTTGATAGTAACATTCCATGAAATCTGTCACATCGGACATGAATTTATCTGTCTTCCAAAAGAAATCCATGGTGTCAATTATCATACTTGGTCAGCTGAGATTAGAGACAGTTTTTAATCAACATTTCCTAGTTTTCTTATTAAAATTGTGATTTGATTTCAATATAAATAATCATTTTTGTCAAAGTTTCAAGTAGGTTGAATGACCTAGTTTTTTACATTCTTTGCTATCTAAATTCATATATTGTTGATTCATTGTTATTTATTAGGTTTATTTGGCGAAAGAACTGGGTATTCCGTTTGCAACAACTGCTATTGTAACAGATTATGATTGTTGGAGAGAGGGCGAAAAGGTACTTTTTTATCTTGATTTTTTGAAGTGTCGGAACTATACTTTATTCAGTTGTAATGACTTTAGTTGATTTTAAGGTGTCAGTTGATTTGGTGGCTCAGAGAATGCGCGAAGCTGCGGATAAGGCTAAAAACCTATTCGTTACAGCAATCGAAAAAATTGGAGCAATGCATTGGGATGATGAAATAATGGAAGCTAAGGTTTATTATGCATCTTGCCGAAATTATTTATGTCTTTTTTTCTTTAATGACTTCCTTCGTTCTATTGTGGAAGAAAGACCACAAATGCTAAAGCAACATAGCATCGCAGAATTATGCCATTCATTATTGAAAAGCATTCTTTATAGCAATTCATCTTCTTTATTTATTTATCGTAATACACCATTGGTTTTTCACGAATTATCAATGCTTCAGAAAACAGCTCGAGCAGGGGTGATGGTTGATGAACATGTGGTTTTCGATCATTTAAAATATTGAAGCATCAAATACATGTTTTTGATAGCTCACCTTGTTGGTCTTTATCACTTGACTTTAATCACAGAGATGTTATTGTGGTTTAAATTTTTAATTGATTTATATTCCATCTATCGACTATTGCTTAATGTTTGATGTAAAACATGATGCATGCGAAACTTCCGTTAGTTACAAAATCACTAAATTATTTTTTTTTTAATTTTGATAGATTTTATTTTGTTGCAAATGAGCTGTTCTGGGGGTCGTATTCTTAGCTTAGTACATCTTTGACCTGATAATAATATCTTCAAAGTAATTATTTTCTAAAACAAATTCACTTTTATTTCTTTTATTTTATCATCAACACAATTCATGTCGCATCAATATTTGATAAAGAAAAAGTGCAAGAATTCAGAAAAGAGTAGTTGTTTTTGTTGTGATTTTTAATTGTAAGAGACTGAATTCTTGATATTCTTCCTCTTTCTGCAAAATTAAAAAACTCTTTAGTACAAGGAGGCCTATGCGCATTAAATTTTATAAGTTCAAGGCATAAACAGCATCAAATCGTACAAATAGCCTCTCCCTTTATTTTTGTTATATTGTTATACGTTTTATAAGTAAATAAATGGAATTTTCTATGTGGATGCCACATATTGCAATTTACATATTTATATTAAAAAATGTCATGACTTCAATAATGGCACCAGTTTATTTTTTTATAGAACTGTTTAATCAAATATTTGGGACGAAAGCCTTTTTGACATTTAAAGTCATCAATCGAGCAGAAAATCCCTAGTATTTGTTTTAAAGACTGCTATACTGATAAAAGCTTCATTCGAAATTTGATCACAATAAACGATCTGCACACTTGACAAAGCATTACCTTTTTTATTGCAAGAAATAGTAAACAAAAGTGTCTTGTATACTATAAACTATAAATCGAAATTAAGCCCTCTATCCACTTTCAAGAAAACGAATTTCCTTCTAAGTAGTGCTTCAATATTTAAATGAACACTGAGTTTACCGCTGTTTCGTTAACTCTCTTAATTGGTCTCCACTTTCACTTTTTACTCAAACCGTTAGAAAATTTTCCACCGTTTCACCGTATACCGAATCATAAAAATGTTGCTCGGCACCTCAAACTGTTATCCGTCGTATCAAAACACACAGTTAACGGAATTAGCCCACCACAATGGTCATTAAAATGCCTCATTACACTTCTAGCAAAATGAAATAATTTGATATCTCAATAAAACTATACACTGCATTTTATCATGCAATAAACTGGCAAAGATTAACCATTTATATGATTTACAATATGTATAATAACTTCTGGCTTGTACACAAACTTATTAAATTGAAAAACAACCATGGAGAGTTGTATTAACAAAGAGAAACGTGGATAAACTGACGATGTCGTTTCAACCTACGGATAATGGCATAGAAATGACTGAACTTTGTTGCACATCGCCAAGAATTTCATCAATTTCTGTAATTTGATTGAGTGTAATTGTTGGTGTTGTAATAGTTGTTGATAAGCACATTTCTCTATATATATAATATTTTCACACCAGCCAACTACCATATGAAACTTATCAATGTAAGAAGATTACCTTCAACGACAACGTGAAAGCCATAATGCAAATAGCATAGGTAGCTAAGATGTAATATACAGGTTGCTACAATAATAGCTAATTTGTGAGATTTGTCGTGAGTCCGTGAACACAAATACAAACTCTAAAATATATAAAATTGATAAGAAAACAAATTTAACTAAAAAAGAAAGCAAGCAATTTTTAACTTTACAAACTTTGGAATTTTTGAAATTATACCACTCGTAGGACGGATGGAATGCAAAAGATGATCGTCGTTGCATAAAAAAATAAATGTGAATGAAGCGGATGGAAGATTGTTGTTAGTAAAAGTACTACACAATGACTGGATAAGGAATATCCCTGAAAACAAAAAAAAAATTATTTTACAGCAAAATATCTTAAAAAGGATGAATTCTACTCAACTTTTCTCACTCAGTTCGTTAACAGTCACGTTATTTATGGGCATGCTATCTTTAATGATCTAAAAAATTAACAATAACTTACATATAATGAGAAAAAATGGATAAAAGATATATCCACATTAAACATCAAGCACAGTGCATATATTACCAATGACATAAAAAACCAAGCACCAAAACAAGTAACCATTGCTGTACCGATCAAAGTACCATCTTGTACTATATACCTGAGATTATTTTCAAAATGATTATAAAATCAACTTCTACCATATGCTTTCAATCATGCATAATTATCCAAATTTTGACTTGAATAAACTTACAAAGATCTCACTTTTTAAATGATAACCCCTCTACTGCAACACACTTATCACCAGAAAGTCAGAAATTTATTTCAGGAAAATTTAGGTGACAAGAACTTTCATTATTGTGCAATTTGATTTTTCTGGGAAAAGATTTACCCGGATGATTTCATGGAATAGAGAAGCAAAGCGACCAAAGTAAGAATAATCATTGTTGGTCCATACATATCACTAGAAACATTCATCTGTGAAGGCTTTCGAGGTATGAAAGATTGTATCAAGCGATTTCGAACTTGACGTGGTTCAACGTCAAAATAGGGTCGAAATAAATCGATACGACCGTAAGAATTAAATGTATCTTTCATTTGTTTACTGCTTGCTTCCCAAACCTATAAACATATGAACGATAATCAAACAGTTGTGTAGAATCAATAGCATAAAAAAGATGATTCTTCAATTTCATTCATGTTATTGCATAATTTTAATTAATGTAATCATGTACATGAGAAAAATCTTCAAATCTGACAAATTACCTCATATCAATAAAAGTGTCGATAGTGTTAATTAATACTAAAGGCATAAAATTTTTTGGTATCTAATAATTTAGATGATATCTCGAACGGGAAAGGTTGCTAAAAAGCAACGCATCTTTTGTAGTTTATTATTCGGAAATTATCAAAATTAACGTTTGCACATAAAAATGTAGCAAATCAACTCAATCCTTTATTTTCACTATAGCTCATTATAGCAATAACTATAGCTTCAATTTGATCATTTCAATCTTTTATTTTAGAGGCACTCAATCGAACCATTTCAGAAAGCTTCGTATGTAGCATATCGGCGGTTGTCTGCGTATCGCTGCTAATCGAGTTTGAACGATTTCTTGACCTTGTATTCTCCATGACCTATACGTAATACATGTCATTATCATTACGCTGCACGACTGACGTCATGATCACGTGTTATCATTTAAATATTGGCAGAAAGTATCTAAAGAAATGCATCAGTTGGCTAATATTAAAAAAAAAAAACAAACTCGAAATTTAGATATTTGGAAAGTTAATAAATGAATAGAGAAATGTCCCGATGCACATGATATTTATCCTTCACTATAGATTTGTTGTGATTTCTAATCTGAAAATATCCCGGATAATCCATTCATATCTTAGGTAAATTGCCTGAAATGCATAAAACAAAACAGCCCGAACCAATGACTTTCAGAGTTAGAAGCGCGAAATATGCGAGACCGAACAATAGTGCTGATAGGATCGAACCAGTCGATGGTGCTGTAATTGTGTTGGTGATGGAATGGTGTTGAATTTAACAATCTTTGTTGATTTTTTGTTTCTTCCGAGATATCTCAGGGAAGAACTGCCGATATTCGCATTCAAAATGACCATTCTCGTTGTATTGATTTTTGAGTTCGGGTGAATGAGTTTGTGTATTTGTACATGTTTGTATAGTTTATTTGTACTTGTGGACATTTCTTTTCCTGTCAATTCTTTCAAATATTGTTGCTATTCTTTTGCCCAAAATTTTTTGAAAGTATTATTGCGTAATCCATTCAGTAATAAGTAGCAGTTGGCAAAGTTTAGTAAATTAAATAGGGCTTATCATACTTGATTTCTATGCTCCATTAAAACTGTTTTATGTATAATCAATGCCGTTGGCATTTACGTTAAGTTTTGTAAATTTGCTGTCATTTACGATTTTTTTTTTGAGAGAATAACGCACAATGTACGAACAGATAAAAGATGAAGAGACGGAATTGAATGTGGAGACGTCAAATCTATCTGCTGATGTACACTCTATTAGAAAAGGTCTTACTTGCAGTTTTATTAAAATCATGAATATTGTTAACCTTTACATCCCGAAATTCTTCCTGATCCTTGCTAAATAAAACTATTAACAGAAGTGCTCCTAAGGTCTCACATCATGATTGCACACTTTTACTGCAATTTTTTTTTATTAATGGATCAAATCCAACATTGCTTTATGTTAAGCTGTAATTCTTGGAATTTATAGCCAAATCAAGATCAAGCGGGACAGTATTTTCATCAACAGTTTGGATCTTGCCTAGACTAAAAATTCATTGATTTTTTTTGAGCTGCCGACTTTGATGGATATATAAGCGTAGGTGCCAGTGAAGATGGTGACAATTTGCTTGAAATACCTGTTGATGACGATGGTAACTTGCCGATAGCTACACTTTCACATGCGTTTCCTGAAGCTATCGGATTAAAGTTCAAAAATCTGTCCACTGGAATTTACCGAACTTTAGCGTATGTGTTTGAATCTGATAGTGTTAGTCAGCCACATTTCTTATTTAAATGTACACATGGTGAAAAACCGATAATCATTTAACATTTACCAAGCTTTGTATGGCTTTTATTTTTGTAGGGTAGATGAACAGAAGCGATGCATTTATCCACCAAAAGGTGGTTGGGGGACGCGACGTTATGTAGCGATCTTTGCCACTCGTAAGTTTTAGTTGAAATTATTTCTTGAAGTCGTTTGTCATAAACGATACTTATTGGGTACCGATAGTTAAGTATTTTACAAAAATGACATGGGCAGTGATCACTTTAGCTAAACAATATATCAAATACAAAACAATGAATCTAAGTTATTAATATTGACGTGTTGTGTTAAATTGTTATTGCTTTAGTCTTCTGATCTTGCTGTGAACATGAATCTTCTTTGTATGTCTGCTAGATTAAACAATGTAAATGTGAAAAGGGCTGGTTTGCCGGAAATGTCTGAATGAATTTATGTTTTTAGCACCGGGTGATCGAAAACGGCCATCAAACGATGATATGGGGGATCTAGTAGGGGAAAAACGCTCTGGTTTGGATGGTAGTCTGAATGAAGGTTTGCGTGTACCGGTAGATTTAATCGTTCTCAATCTCTCTTTCAAAACAGATGAGGAGGCGCTCAAAAAATTTTTCGAACAATATGGTGAAGTTCAGTATGTTGAGGTTTGCTCTGATCGATTGTTCTTTCTCTTTGTCTGTTTGGAAGTGTGTATGTATGTTTTCGTGAGCGGGACGTGTTTTACTAGCTTCTAGTGATAACATGTCATATTTAGTTTGATAGAACAAAATTTTCAATGAATTTCTTAGGTTTTTTAAAATAGGTATCATGTTAATGATGCCTACTGCAATAACTTTATGCACCTACAGATCAAACGTGATTTCAAAACTAATATGCCAAAAGGTTATGGATTCGTGAAGTTTGCCGATATTGAATCTCAGGATAAAGTACTTCGGGATAGAGAAGTTTTCATCGATGGGAGAGTAACACAGGTTAGTGGCACCTTTAATTTCATGGCAGTTTAGGAGGAACATTTTTCGATTTTGTTAACTTCGTAGTTATTTTTGCAGTGGTGAAACTGTTTATGTCCCGAAGCTACTGTTATTCTTTCTTTTTTACGACTTCACCATTATTTACAATCAAATTTGGTTGCGCAGACGATATCGATTGGATATAAATGAAATAAAAATCATTATTATTCATGACAGAAAATCTAACATTTTTATTTCTATGACTCAAATTTACAGTTCCTAGCTTTGCTTTTCCTTTTATTCTTCAATTCTGTAGCAAACAATTTATTTATGCTTCATGAAATTTCCAGTTCCAGGTGAAACTTCCAAATCATTTCTCCAGCAAGATTCCTCAGCAGTCACCTTTTGCAATGCCTCCAGCATGGGAAACAATTTCCACAAAATTATATGTTGGACGTGTGTGGAATACACTGACAGAAAAAGATATATTTGATGTCTTGGATGCAGAAGCAAAGAAACTTTCTCCCCTTGCTAAAGTGAATTATTCTTAAATTTAATGGTGAAGAGGAGGATGACAGATAGCTATTTGATAATTGCAAGCACAGAAAAGTTTCAGTGAATTTTCGAATTTCTGTGCAATTTACAAATTAATTACAAACAAATTAATCTTTTTCTTACTTTCTCTTTCAGTGATTGGAGAGTTTGATCCTTTTCTGTTTACTACTTAGTAAGCAGCAATATAGTTTGAGATGTCTTATTCCATAAATATAACAAAATCTTTTTGAAAAAAAATTCAAGTTTCTTTTGCCTTCAGGTCGAACGAGTGTTCATACCAAAGCCTCATCGTGGTTTTGCATTTGTGACGGTGAATGATCCTAATGTGACGAAACGTTTTTGTCAAATACGCGATTTTATCATCAAGGGCAAAAGTGTATGCGTTAGCATCCCAACACCAAAAAATAGTGCAAAACAAATGCAACATATGCTAAATCAAGATGTGTATCCTCCTCAGTATCCCATGCCACAACCGCCACAAAGCTCTATGCATTGCTATCCTTCAAACATGAATTATCCAGGTCAGTTTTCACAAAATCAAAACTGGATGAATCCACGAACCACATATCGTAACTCCGGAACGCCAGTACCTTACTCATAATTACAATAATGGTGGGAATATATCCACGTTTTAACTGCATTTGAATGTTGATAAATTGTTATGCACCTTGACGAATGTTACGTTTCAAATTATATATCAGTACCAGTTATCAGTGCTGCAGATTTTATTTAAATGCTGTATATAAGTCAGTACGGAAACCTGTTTTCGAGAAATACCAAATTTCTGCCGATTCTTATATGTTATAAGTGCTAGTGATTTTATTGACAAATTAAGATAAGATGTCATACATTCGTGAACGGACTGATCACGGGTTTTTGTAAATGTAGTGTTTTATGATCTCGCTCATAAAGCAGTTTACGGATGTTTTATTTTCTGTACGATATTAATCGCTGGCATATCTAACTGTATTTTTATATATGCTAATTGCATTTTCTTTGTTTTTGTTTAAACAAACTAATAAACGAATTTCGAAGGAATTTTTTCTCATCATTTAATTCAAATTGACTATGCACTCACTCACTAAAGTATTCATTTGGACTGAACATATACTAGTGAGTTGATATCGATGCGAAGCATCGTAGCTCCTCTTCAAAAAAGACACATAAAAATATCAACAAACCATAACAAAAAACCGTTTAAGAATAATTATAGTTCAGAAATAATTTTGTTGCTAATGCCGATCATTAATAGAAGGGACATGAGTTTCTCTTAATTTCTTATTCAGGAGATATGGAAGTGGTAATTTCGAAAAAAACATTCTTAATCATATACGGATTATCATAAGTGCACAAGACACCATATCCGATGGTATCTTCAGGAAAATGTGATCACAACTTAAATGTACCGAAGACTGTTTCAATGCCAGCGAATTTCAAGAAGCAGTACATTACAATGAACGTAAACAATAATTTACCAGGTCTACCTTTAAAACATATTACTATGATGGGACATAAATCTGGAACGAACAGAGTTGTTGAAATAGGCCAGAATCTTCTGAAATATATCTGGATGCGTCAAATATCTTCGACGATCTACGAAGTCACTCGGTCTACGAAGCTTACCATTGCTAAGTCACAAATCTGGTTATTGCTAATCAACTAATTTGTGGAATCGGATCATTCTTAAATCACTTGACCCGTTTTTACTGAAAAATATTCTTTTGAATTAATAAAATGTGATGAATCCTTTTCTGAACCTAAATTTTAGATTGACACCCACCAATCGCATACAGAATTGATTGAGCACGACTGCTTAATTTCAAAAGTAGTGCCAATAGAGCTATCAACTGCAACAGTAAGGAAACAGCACGATGAAGGATAGCAATGAGGAAGAACTTTATGGAATAATCGACATCAGTGACCCATCAATAAGTTAAGTGTGAAGTTTCACATTATTTTCAACTAAAAGAATGGCAATACACAAAAAATAATTGTTGCAAAAATGTTATAACTTGCCACCAGTAGGTTCTTCTAATCGCTTGTTTTCTTCCGCAGTGAGATATCCATTTCGTAGTATTTCTTCTCTCATCGTATTAGTATATTTACATGATTTCGAACCACACTGACACGAAAAATTCCTCAATTTAACGTCCCACCATTGATTTCCATAATCAATGGTTAGTTCTTCTCCCTTAAAATATGAAAACAAGCTGTTATAAAAAATAAAGATATGAACGAAAAATCAACTGATATGAATTTGCTAACAGAAAGGTCACACCTGTTGGATATCTCTTTTAGCATAAAAACAGATATGCGGCAAATGACGTATATTTGCATCCCATACAACTCGGAGAGTGACCAAATTTGCTTCACAACTGTGATTGATGAATCTTGAAACATTCCCCTTGAATTTTGCATCTATACAGTACGCTGACGTTTCATCCTAAAAATAACACTATAAATGACGAAAATTTTTGCAATATCAGAAGAAACATAAAAAGTTTGAAACTTTAATTTTATATTCATTCCAGTAGCTTAACCACTGCAAAATTACAAGCCACTAAAACAAGTGTTCGCCAAAAATTTACCTATTGCCAAACGCTAAATTGATGATTAACTGCTCTCTGATTTTAATTCGTCTTTTCTAAATTTTTTTTAGCGATTTGAAATCTTTTGGCCATGTAATCATATCAGTATGATAGGAAATTCTGGAGAAATGTCTGCTTCAAAATGATCTTTAAAAGATCTACAGCAATAATGGATCCCAAAGCATATTAAATATATGAAGAAGGTAAGACTTCGGTATTCTTATGCTAGACTCTCTCGCGAATGTTTTTTTAAAAAGCTTACTATAATTTCGAACAGATAAGTATCGTCTTCACGTCTATCTGCATCAGCGTCTGAGATAAGTTCGCCAGTATATTCACATACAAAACTTCCTTAAATCAAGTGGAAGAGATCTTTTCGTAAAACAATAATTTGATCGGTAAAATATTTTAATAACTTACTGAAACTAACCTTTCAATATCAAAGAACAGCTCCTTACAGCCCATCCATATTTCTTTGTACGATAAACCTACAAGTTTAAATAGTTCAAAAAACAAATTTGGAAATAGTTTGAATTTTCCCGCGTCAATAATCCACATAAAAAGTATACCTCAAGTCCGCAATGAACACCTTTTTGTGCAATTCTTGATCTGCATTTATTTGAACAAAAGCAACATGAACTGCATTCTAGCAGCACACCTAATTCTGCCTTATCAGCTAATTCGACTGCTTGACTACTAAGATGTCCATCTGCATCATATGTACAACGAGCCAAGCAAGGACAATCAACTTGGCAGTCATTTGTGCAGCGACATGCCTAAAAAACATCTACTCAGTTTTTTAACAACAACAAATAGAAATTTCGCTGTTGTTGAGAAAAACGTCTTTACAATGAACGTGATAAAATTTTCTAGTTACGCAGAAAGTACAATGTTATTTTGAAATTGAAAGTAAAATAAATTTTACGAAAACCACTACACTGATTATCTTATCTCCTGAAGTACAAAAAAAAATATTAGCTGCTTTTTTAATTAGGAAATTCATTTTAAAAAATATACTATTTAGATATCTAGTTATTCCGGATACCGCAGTAAGTGACAAAAGATCGCTCGAGCTATTATCCGCTAATCGGAGAACCAACAGTTTCAAAAATAAGTTAACCGAAACAAATCTATAATTCTAAAGGTGTAAAAAAAGAAAACAATAACTAGTGAAAAGTCGATATGAGTTTGAAATGAATCATGATCATCAATAGAATTTATATATTCAAAATTAGGATCCAGTGTAGCTCCATCATCAGTGCCATTCTCAAGAGGTATTGCAACACGTTCACGACCCATCGTTATATCACTGCAATACTAAGTATCAAATTACCAATTAATATTAAACTCATTGGCTAGTTTAAGCAAAACTCTCCCAATACTGATGCATACTTGACTAAATTGACTCAATATCACACATATTTGTCTAACGCAAAGTAATTAAATAGTGCTTTGATGATTTATTAACCGCTTATTAATCAAATAACAGAAACTCTAACTGTGTAATATATTTACGAGAGATTGACAGAAACTTCCGTAATTTCAGTTCCCTTCCAATGCGATCAATGTATGAGCGTAAAAATTCAGGCAATCTCATATCGGTCCACAAACCTTTCGGTGTAGCACCGCGCTGCAGAAAAAATCTGAAATTTTCAATGAAGAAATCTGGAAATCTCATTAAAAAAAAACTCTGAAGTATTTTTGAAACATACTAATAGTTGCCCTTTCAGAGAATAAAATTGTTAAGAAAGTGATCGATGCAATTTAAGAAAAAACTTGCAAATAAAACGAATAGGTATTAAATTCATATAAATTAGAAGATCACAATAAACAAAAATAAATAAAATATGCGTGAGAAAAGTGTGAGATAAATAAGCTCCAAAAATAAGAATTCAGAGGCAATAGTAGCAAACTATAATCTAGAAAAAGACAATAAATAATACGCACAAAAGACAATAAATAATACGTTTTCAGCAATATGTTTTAAAAAACCATCAATTATATAAGATAAAAGCAATTTAGAAAACAGCTAGATCCATTGGAATAAAAAGAAAAGAAATAGAAAAGAGAAATTATAGCAGAATAATTAATTTGAAAAGAAATATTACACAGTTCGTGGGCAAATGTCTGAATAAAACATTAGATAAAACGGCATAAAAAAAACTAGCAAAAAGTAAATAAAAGAATAATCAAACTGGACAAAATGTAAATAAATGGAGTTGTGAACAAAAACAAATCGAAAAAACCAAACTAAGTAAACAAACCGAGAACCCAGTATAAAAATTCTGAACATATATTCATCACAGCTTATAAAAGAATAAATAAATTAAATCTAGATATGCACTTCCCACTTATCTGCCCTCGCTAAGGGTTAGACAAATAGCTTATGGAAAAAAAGATGCAGATTTTAGAAATTTCATCATTCAAAGCAAAAAAAGACAGATGACAACCATCAACCACCCTATTCTCATTCATCCCTCAATTTTTCAAAAATATTAATCTAAAGATTTTCAAAAATAATCCAACATTTTTCTACACGTTGGTCAGCCGCAGATTTCATGTAAACGGAGCAAAAAAAAGAAATTTTAAAAGAAACTCATTTATGAAATTTAAGAATAAACAGAATATGAACTGTGAATTATCCTTAAGTGAAGATAATGCGGATTAAAAATTTCATCTTATCCTTATCAATTCCTTATTTCAGTATATAAAATGAAACAAAAAACTATAATCAGAGGGATGGATCTAGCTAGATAAGCGTCCATTTACTGATTAATTACATCCCGTACAATTGTTTTCGTTTCATTAAAGAAATATGATAATAAAATGGTATTATTTCGTGGAATAAATTTTCATACATTTATTGGAAAAGAGGGGAAGAAGATTACTAAATACTAAATTTAAATTTAAAAAAAAGAGCATAAATTTGTCAGCAAAATGAAAATTTTTATTACAATGGAAAAGATTAAAAATCCATTACTATTCAGCAGAAATAGCTATTAAAATGTTAGTTGATAAAATAAAAATTAATTCTAGTAAGAAGATTTTAATTACAACTAAAAACTTTAAATTTAAAATATTTTAGGCTGAAGGTTAAGGAAAATCCCATTCGAAATTAATAAAGATCGAGAAAGGTCATTATAAACAGTATCCATTGTGACAGTGCCCAAATCAAAAAATATGGAAAAAGAAATGGAGATAGATTTTAGACAAAAACAACACATTCATGGTAAAAGTACAAACTGAAAGCCTTACATAATAAAGCAAAATTATTCTGTTCAAATTGAATTTACGACAATGTATGCTTTCTAAAAACCTTAATATGCACCATCTGCTTTTATTTTTTATTGACCAAAAGATAAATAAGTATAGACATTTAAGGAGATCCTAATAATTGCTGAAACTGTACAGAGAAAGGAACTTTTCCCCAAAAAATTGCCAAGAAAATAAGTCTCAAATTTGACATTGAGAAAGTAAAAATAAAAACTGCATATACTACTGAAAGATGATTTCCTGTTCGCTTTAAATTTACTGCAATAATTTCTTGAAAACATAAATATAGTCGTCATGCTAATGATGACTATTTATGTTAAACTGCGCAATGCGAATAAAACAAGCAGGCACTGGTCCTATTTAAAATCTCAAGCCTCGATGGGAATTGATTTAGAAGCGGATGTTAGGCAATTTAAACATAAGATAAACATCTTCTTACAACTCTAAAACATACTTCTTAATGAGTTGTTGCATCAGCAACGTAGAAGCAGACTGCTAAAAAGACAATTGAAATTATACTGCTAACAACCTTTCCTAACAAGGAAGAGATAAATTTACATAAGATTATCAAAAAAAAAAACTTTCTTTAATGTTAAAATGAAGTTGACCAAAAGATGCTATTATTCAAAAAGTATTCTCCTAATTTACTGTATAACTGTTCTTCTTTAGAACCAAATTAAAACATACCTATTTCGAATAAATCGATTCCTAATGGCATTTTTATCACTGAGTACATATTTAAAACAAGACCAGACATATTACATAATACAATATAGATATAGATACACTAAGTTAATCCCGACTGATTCATGACTGCAATCTGAGTACTGTTAGTTCTATTTCACTTATGTCTTATAAATCCACTAATATTTTACCATATTATTTTTCATTTTTAATTGTTCACATTCCTTTGTTGTTTAATGAGTTTTAATTAAGGATTTTTTTCGCAATTTCAAATTGAAGATTTTCCTTCGTAATTTTAGAGAAGCGGTACAAACTCTTCACCAATAACACTATCAGCAATTATGAGCTTTTTCTCGAACATGTGTATATTGAAGAATAGATGATAAAAAAATTATAAATTCAAACTGAAAGAAAATCATTTTTTATTATCTAAACTCTTATTATCCCATTAAAAAAAAAACATTCACATATTAAGTTGTTAAATATAAGAAACGTAATGATTGAAATTAACTTGATAAAAGACTGCTTTATAATGCTGTTAGAATTGAACTAAATTTGTAGCTGAGGCAAACAACAAAATAATAACCACTGTATAAAAATAATCCCAGAGTTATTCTTATATACACAGTTTTACACAATTTTCATCAATATATATATATATATATTCTTACACATTCTTCACCAATAGCGATTAATATTTTGTTAACTTCCTAGAGAATTTTTTTTTTTTTAAATCTTTTTTTAACATTTTCGACAATCAAAAATTTGCGACACTAGAAATTCACAAGATCTGCATATCCAAACTGTGCAATATTTAAATGATGATGATTAATGATAAATTCTTTGTAAAAGAGAACTTACTCAGCCAGCTTCCAGTGGCATCTTGCACATGCCAATTGAAGAGCAGTACGATGACGGTAATCTTCAGCATCAATAAAAGATGGTACAATTGCTGTTTTTTCAAATAACTTAGTTGCAGTCGCAATTGCAAATTGTTGATCGATATTTTGTGTCAATTTATGAAAGACTGTTTTTGCTTTCTCGGTGCGGTCATAAACATTCGCACCATAAGCAAGAAGGAGATCTATTGCACGATAATCACGGTGATTAATGAATTCCAACAAACGATTGCGCATAAATTCTTGCTATAAAATGTTGTACTTAAACCAATTTTTCATTTTGACGGAAATCTTAATCTATAGATTCTAAATCACATATAACTTCAGTTAAGTATAGAAAATTACCATTCGCAGTGAAAGAGACTATGCTTGTGAGGCAAATATTAAGTGACTCAAAACAAACCATTCGAGTACTGCGATAATTCAAGAATTTTAGAATTTCTTCTGCTGATGCACAATTTCCAAGTTTAAATGCCACACTTAGAGAATCTACTTTTTCTCCTGATTTTTTCTGCAATGAAATTTTCGCAATTTTTTCAAAAGAAAAGTGTAAACCATAAATATGAATTCACTGAGAACAGCTACCTCAAAACTAATTGGAGCACCGTGATGAAGAAGTACCCTTACAGAAAACGCATCGTTAGCTTCTACAGCAAAAAGAAGACATTCGCCATCCACAGCCACATCCAGAAACTGAAGTAAAAGAAAACAAATTATTGAGTACCAATAGAATTATAGTGCAGTCTAAATTTAAAATTCGATTAAATCAAAGAGAATATTTGGATGACTAGAATATCCTTAGAATTTCTGCAAATTGTAGGGAATTACTATAATATTTCTAAAACAAAAATACTTACTTGGAGAACGATTAATATAGATAAGCGATCGCAGCACTGTACTGCAAACTTTATGCTATCCAAATAATATTTGCGACGTTCATATGGCGATTTATCTATAAATAAGTTAACTTATAGTAATGGCAAATTCGAAAATAAACATTAACGAAAAATGAATAAATCCAGCTATTCATGAAAATTAATTGAAAATACCGGCTCGAAAAGTTTCCCAAAGTTCACGTAGAAGTAATTGACTTTTCATATGAAACGGACGTTCTGTCGATAAATTGTTCGAGCAAACAGATTGAAATGCATCCAATTCTGACATTAACCATGAATAGCTTTCCTTTCCACAAAGAGCTACTAAAACTTGAATTTCATGTATCATGTGAACAAGAAAAAGCAGTATTAAACAATGCATGACAGCTTAAGACAAAAAAATTTACTGCATAAATTTTCGACGAAAAAATATGTAAATAGGAAAATAAACACAGAAAACTGAGAAGTTATATAAAGTTCAATTAAAATAAATCAATCAACAATTCCACTATAAAATAACTTACAAACATTCAACTGCAACCCTCTACTCATCTTCGGGAAAACAGTTTCAAGTTTCTCGAACAAAGGATCCTGAAATATACTATTCCATAGTGCACAAATTTTGAATAATAGCTAGAAGGTTCAAAATAGTGACTGTAAGATATAAAATACTTTGTAAGGAAACAGGGTGAAATGAGATGAGGCAGAATAAAGAATATTGCAATGACAGCATGCTTCTTTCCATGAATGATAGCAATCGGCGTGCATCCAATGCTGTATTCCCAGTTCATTACAAACTTTCAGTTCGCCCTGTAAAAAAGCCAATCCACTTTTAATACAGTAACTAATTCCAAAAAATTCGAAAAAGGTCAAATATTCCCTAAGACTTCACACATCACTTTAAACAGTACTAAAAAACCCTACCATAAAATAATAGAATTGTAAGAACTTCGGAAATTAAAATAAATGAAAAGCCTTTCGTTAAATGTTTCAAAAAATTTTGGAGTATGAAAATTTGAAAGTGATAAATTACTAGCACTTTTTACAAGCTATCTGTTAATGAATTCGTTAATCTGGACAATTTTATAAAGTCCTTCTACTCTTTTCCCCTTTTTTAAACTTGCTCCCACAATAATTCCTGAGCGCTATTTATTGACCAATTAATCCAATCACTGTGCTAGATTATAACAAAGTAATTACCTCTGTGCAAAAAGCATAACAAACTAGACATAATCGATGTTGGTGAACCATTTCTGAGTGGATCTAAATTAACTGCGTCAAAATGCATCATCAAATGCACACTTCAATAGGAGTAAAAAATAATCCTGCTTAATTTAATGAATTCCCATCCTTTGATGACAGCTTATTACATTCACTATGTGACGCTCTGAGATATAAGGAAAACTTGAAGATATTAAAATATACTGATAGAAATTAAGTCATGTATAACTAACCGAACAGAATGATTGTTCTACTGTTTGTCCATCAATAATACTCGATAAAAATGTCAATGCTTTTCTTCGGCATCGATATTTTATACCGTAACGTCGGTTTTCCCCTGTGCATGTGCAATGCACATTCGATTCTAAAGGTATTTCATTTCCACTGAAATTTGTCCATTTTATAAGGATATAAAAGTTTACTGTACTTACTAATTTTGTATAGTTTTGCAAACTTCGTCTATCAATGCATATGAAAAGAAAGCAAGAAAGACGCAACCTTAGCTTGATGCAGTAACACTGGCACGGATGTATGCTTCCACTACCACCAGCAGTAGTACACGGATCAAACTTGCAGTTTGTCACCAATTTCTCTCTCTTCTCTTCCTCCATTTCGATCAATCAAATTTTATTTTATTCTTTTTGCATGGAAATGTGCATTCACCGCACAATGATAGTAGCATCCATGTAACAATAACTTAAAATTAGCAAAAAATTGATAAGCATCGTTCAGTTAATCAATCGATAAGTACAAAACCGACATTACAGTCAGAATGATATGACACACAAATGACCTAAAAACGATAACAATGATAGTCAAAGTCATTACCACCAATTTTATAAGTGAACCACCGAATACCAGATTTGCCAACTGTTACAAATTCGAACTTATGGCTGAGATAATTTGAAGGGTGGTTGTGGGTGGCAGATTGGACTTCGAGATTATTTGAATGTCCTGGGACATTTATGTGCGCGCTACGCTTACGCTGCATGCTCTACAAATTTTAGCAAGAAAAAATTACGTAAAAGATGTGCTTCGTTGACAATTTGTAACTTTATTTCTGATAAACCGTAAACTTGCATGAACCGTAGAGAGATCGGCCAAGGATCATCAGGAGAACTGTGGAACTCGAGAATAGTTTGATTTAATTGGTTTAAGGGCGAGAAATCAGAATGACTATAAGATGCTCTTAATCCTCTCAGATATACATATATAGGGAAATGTTTCGAATCGAATTTTTTTTCTCTCCTTTCTTAGGTAAGACATACAATAATGTTACAATTTGAATTAAATTCTTTCACTCGATACCGTTTAGCAAGGAGTGATGCATTCTTGATCCCATTTAAAAAATTAACTAAGTATTTGAAAAAAATATAAATTGATATTGTCGAAATATGGAATTCTAAGCATATGTTCGAGATTTTTTGCATAGAAATTATGTCATATGAGTCATAGCTATCAAACACGATGTCCGTTTTTAGTTGATCTTAGCTTTTCTTTAAAGAACGCATCAATCGTGAAATCATGCTTTCCGTTAGAAAAATTTGGTGTGTGAGGTTTAACAGGTTGAAATCTGTAAAGAAACGTATGTTGTGCTAGCAAATATGACAAAAAAGTCATTTATCAGTGAAATCATAGGTGTTGTCAATAAAGTTTGCTAAATCGCTGAAAGCCGAGTAAAAATATTCGTGATAACAGGTGCTTTTTGGAAGTGATAGAATATTATGTTTACTTTCCAGCAAGGAAAATCTATTCAAGAGATCTTACCTATGACCTAACAAAGTTCTAAACTTATGAGTTCGAATAGCAAATTTTTTTACAAATACTAATTAAATCCACGTTACTTTCTTTCACTATCATGAATATTTTAAAATGATTATCATAAATATTTTAAAACTACGAACGTCAATTTATCAATCGTAAATTTCGCTTTCGCCAATTAGCGGTTATCAGTCTGCAAAGCAAATTGCTAATTTAAATTTGGTTTTATTATTTTAAGGGTATGCGGTCTGATGTAAATAACCGACGCTCCGGGCGACAAAATAGGAAAAAATGGTGCGATGGAATGGCGAAACATGTTGACGCAGTGATGAAACGAGCTAAGGAGCGTCGAACTACATTAACTAACATATCCAAAAAAGGTTTTTTTTTAATTCCGAAAACAGATAAGACTAACTCACTTGAATGTAAATTTAGAAAAGCAGATCAGTAATTGCTTTCCTTCCTTTCATCACGACAAAAGAATCATTTTCATTTTTGTGGATTTCAGCATATTTATTTGTGACGTAAATTATAACGGTTCTTCCAGCGACTCAATGGTTGATCAGAATCTGAATTTATTCTGTCCATCAAAGCAGATTGTATAGTTGTTAATTAGGATCAACCAGATTCAGAATTGGCTGTGCTACTATCATATTAACATTGTATTGACAACTTAGTGAATATGATTTAGTGTTAGGTCAACCTTTGAGTCTAAAAGAATAGCAGTAAAGAATGAATCTCAACCTCTTCAGATCTTTCAGTACCGCAACGACTAACTCAACCCATTTCACCTCATAAACGTTTGAAGGAACGAGCTGGTCTTTGGATGTTTGCAAAACAATCGGAAATTATCACTGAACCAAATGTAACGTCTTCTATACGACGCAAAGTTTGCTTTTATTTGCGTATTTTTTTTTATCTGCTTATTTAACTTCAAATCATTGATTTATATTCTTCCTTACTTAGCGAAAAATTTTGGTATATAATTTGTTTTTAATATGGATTATATACATATGTATCACTAAGTATATGGATTGTTTCTTTACTCCATTTTTTTAATGATTTTAATTTTTTTCTAGGTTCAGCAAGATGTGCGAGCAGTGATGGCTGAAGATTCTCGTGATAGAAGACAAATGTGGAATAGAGCAAGTGTAAGAGCTGAGAGTAATATTAATCGCAACGCTATTTTTCGCATGGCATCATCAGCAGATAATATTTTTGATATCCCCTCTCATTTCAGGTAATCATATTCATTTAATTCCTGATTTCAAATTACAAATAAGAGACAAAAATGCGAACCTGTAAAACTTTCTTGTAAGAATGTAAACAAATGTCCCAAGTTCATTCACTGTTAGTGTACTAATCAAAATGAAATGAATTGGGAAATTCTGATATGTATATATTTTATAACCGCGTACAAGTGCCTAATATAACTATAAAGCTAGCTTATAATTATTAAGTTTGTTATTCATTTATTTTTTATCTATAAATGCAAATTTTGATGGTAAGAATTTTGCTTAGCTTTAGTTCTTCATTGCCTATAAAGTAATATCAGTTTTGGTGATTAGTATTACTTAGTATGCTGCGCAACTTCTAGTTGTTTTCTTTCTAGTATATGTAACTTTTAAACCTATTTCACCCGTTTTGACATTTTATAGTTTTGGAACAGAAACAAATCTAGAATCACCTGTTAATGAAACTACAGTCTCCGGTAGGAAAGAAGATGGCATGTTACCTTCTTATGAACTTCCAACTTCAACAAAAATTGGCAGAAGAAATAAAAAAAAGCAAGATTTACTTATGAATTTTTAGTTTCTTTTTTTTCTTCAAGATATCTAATATTAGTAATCTATTTGTAGAAGCATCTCGGTCCTTACTGATCAAATTTTCAACTTCCAATTTTGTTATTTTATTTATTGATTCGCTTCTGTTCCTTATCAGGCTACCATTTAAATTTTTTGTTACATCCATCTTAATTTTTTTTAGGGGTGATAAAGACTTGTGTTTGTTTCCTGCAGATCCTTTATTGTTAGACTATGCAGAACGAATCTTGTCAGCTCTGCCACATTTGAGCCTTCGAAATAACGATCCGACGAGTTATTCCATTGCCGCAACAAGCATTGTAGCTTGTTCCTTACGACGTCATGGTATATATCCGAAGGGTTCAAATTTTCAAGAAAAAGAGCAGTTAGAATCATCACAAAGGGAGAACAATATGCATGAGGTAGTATATGATTTTTTCGTGAGCAAAATGATAAACAACTATTTTTTTTAGATCATAACTAGTGCTTGTGTTCATTTTAGTGTAGTCATTTCAGAAATTTTGGCGTAGCTTTTTCGAGAATTTATCTCCACTTAACTCGTTTTCGGTAGATTCGGCGCTTCTGAGAAGCGGCAGTCCATCTGCAAAATTATTTGAATTTGAAGATATCCAATCCAATAATGAGCATGTGTTATCAAATTTTGATGATGAAAATATTATCTCGGATGTATATCAGTCGCCAATTTCATCTAATAATATGTCAGGTTAGCATTAATTTTTTACCAAACATTTTTTGAGCAGATCTTCTGGCACAAAATCTGTTCATGTATGTTGATACCGGTCGAATGATAGCCGCAGAGAAATCTTTATATTAACTATTCAATAATGAAGTTATTTGGTTGCTGCATTTCCTTCTATCAATTCACATACAAAATTGGAAAATGTTCCCCACCTACGTTTTTACACATTTGTATCAGAAATTAAAATATTTTAGGTTGTAGCTTTGGCAATTTTTTTCCAAAAATTGAAAAAAATGATGTTGAATCTATAGCAAATTTATCGATTAACTCAAATGATCTGATGAAACTTACAATGGACGAAAATTTTTCGAAAAACATTCCTTGCAATTCACCGCTACGGCAACCTAGAGTTGATTTGACTGAATATCATCCGGTTACTGTAAGCACTTGGTTTGAGAGAGACTCGGCAAATATGGTAATTATTATTCATACATAAATATATGAGGAATTAACAAAAAGTTTTTTTCCCCAGGATCTTGAATTGAAACGGCTTAAAACACTCTCACAGTGAAATCCTCTTAATTAGAAATTCACAAGTAGGAACTATGGGAATAAAATATTTTTTTGTTCCTCAATACCATTACCGCTATTTTTATCGAAAGAATATTGATCTGAATGCGGAATTTTAAAACAGTCAAACATTACTTTTTAGTTGGATACTAGCAAAGCCATTTATCGCAATACCAAAAAGGACAAGCCATGTCAAGATTGTCAACCAATGGAGTGTAGTTCCATTAAACCTATCGTTAATCAAACAATAAATAAGAATCAGTGGATGAAAAATTCTTTAGTAAGGTAAATTTATATATACTGTCTAGGTGTGTCTATTGATTTTTTCTAAATGAATTCGTACTGATCTGATATACGTTGTGTGTCGAATATCAACAAGTTTTTTTTTTTTGCTTTTAAAAAAAGGAAAGATTGCGGAATATTTTTATGTTTCCCTACCATTTTATGGTTCGTAAGCAATTGCAGGAAGAAAATTTGTTCCGAAATACCAGATTTTCATTTCAAATCAAATCGTGAGACATACAGTGCTTTCGACTCAATTTATCCTTCCCAGATGTCACATTTTAGTTTTGATTTCTGAGTTATTTTCATGTCTTATTGGGCCAAGATGGATTCCAGGTATCCAATTTCAAGGAGTAGTGCACTGTTTACCTATTTTATCGTTTTCTGTAAATTATTCTTTGTGTAAAGTTCAAGTAGTATCTATGGTTCTACAATAATTGCATCATTGTTGTTTACTTTTTTTTTTTGTTTTTATGCAATAATTATATTCATCTTTTACTATATTTTGCTACGTGTTTACTTTTTTTGGTTATTCATACATGCATGCCTTGCATTAACAAATGAGTTGAAGCGATAAAAAATGATTTCTTTTTAAGGAACTTGACTTATAGTATGATTCATGTTATTTATCTCGTTCAATCAACACAAGATAGAAAATAGCCGTGGTGACATTAATATTATGGTTAGTATTTTTCAACTCTGAAGGCCTCATTAAATTCTATAATATTAATATATGTATGGGCAGGATATTTAGATTACATACAATTATGTATTACTTTTACTCGTTTCATAGTTATTGGAGGGAAAAATACTTATTTTTTTTGTAATACTACGAGATGGTTCTTGATATACCTTGCTGTGAATATGATGCTTTTTAATTAATGTTGATATTTATGAATAATAAAGGATCATTATTCACTGCTTATTTAGAGATTTCATATTGCAGTATTGTTAAAATCAAATACTGCTAAACTAAATTCAGATTTCTTTGGTCTGGTAATGCATACATGTATCAAGATTGCTGCTGAAATAACAGACTAACCTGAATTTAAGGATAAGCCAAATTTGTTGTCATTTCAAGAAGATGTATTATACATTCATCACAAGCATCCAATTATATATCAGGAAAATTAAAATAAAACATAAAATGTAGTTATGTGACGGAGTGTTGGAAGGAATCAATCGATATGATATGACGACTGAAATGTTTTTTGCATATTATACTCAGATTGTTTCTCGATAAGGCAAAGCAAACTGGAATCATGAAGTCCATTTTACTTTTTCCGGTTTTCCAGTGCTATATACTAGCGGAGCAGAGAGTGATAACGCGTAATCACCTCAACTTTCTTTATTACTTTTTTTTTTGTTACGCTTAAAACCGTGCCTTTGCCGTGTTATTACACTTTAAGAAGTTACGGAATCATATATTCATCAGGAAAAAAGTGATCGGTTGATCGTATGTTTTGTATGACTTTCGCTAGATTTGAAGAAATAATTTTTGCCGATAATACTCTCCTATCCCCAACTATTTTGATTACTTAGCAAAGTGAACTGACAAAAGTTTCGTTCCTAACTTTTTTTCAATAGCTAAAATTAACATTCTTGCAGAAATTGCTTATATTTCACAAAACCTTTGAAAGATTTCTTATTTAAAAAATTGAGAGGAAAATTCTTACAAAGAAAAAGAAAAAAGTCTTTAGAAAAAACACATTTTTTGTTTTTGTATCCAACAGTTCAACTCTTACAAATGATAACAAATGTGGAATAATTTCAGCAGAATCGTTTGTTAATGTGCTAGAAATTGACATGAAAAACAGTTGAAGGAAAATGCATAAATATTAACAATTATTTTAATTATTGTATTTTCATTTTCCGTGCTAATACATTCATCTAAATAATTATCAGCTCAAATAAGCATCATTATTATTATTTAAAAACTAAAAGATATTTCAAATGCTTTTACTTCTCTCCTTTCTATATTAATACTTTAAATTAGTTCTGTTTGATGCAGCATAAAATTTGAAATTTTATTAAAATAATGACTGAGATTTTTTCTCAGTCATTATAAATAAATCTTCTATATTTTAAAAGTCATAATTAGCAATTAATTTGATAATTTCTTTATTTTCAGAATCACTAGAAGATCTCTAAAATGTTTAATTCACTTGCGTACAGCATATATCATGCATTCCTGCATACACTTTTGGATAGTCATAATTTATAAATAAGTTTTATATTATTGCGATTAATATTTATAAGATAAAATTGGTTACGTAAACACTTACTGGAAAAAGTACGCTTGCAATTAAATTGCAAAGATAGGAAGTGATTAAAATTTTTCCTAAACCAAAAGAATAATTACATTTCTTTTTTAGAAAATGCCGTTTCTTAATTTAGACAAAAAATTTGGCAAAATCCATCGTCAAATGAAGCTCATTACTTCATTAAAGTAAAACATATTAGCATTAATAACCAACCAACTGTCCGGTTAGCCTTGTTTCCATAGTGATGACTAACTATGGCATATGCACAATTTCTTTTATCCGCTTCACTTTTCCACTGACCTCTCTTTCCAGTAGCCAAAATTGTGTAATTCATAGTTTAATAAAATATTTTCAACTCATGCAACCGATCGTTCAACGATTATTTTTTGAGTTTTATCAAGAAAATACCAATGAACATAGTCCACGGTATTTCAATTTTAATAATTTTTAATGTCACATTTCCTGTATTTTTTTACTTTTTTTTTAATGTCACATTGTTGAAGGCTAAATTGAAATGTGACTTTTTAATGTTCACATTTCAATTTAGTCTTGAACAAGGTTGAAAAAAAGGAATTTTTTATTAACATTTTACTTAAATATATAGAATTTTTCGAAAACATTCCAACTAATTATCTCTTTTATTTTAGGGATGAATATAAACCAAGTTCAGTGGATTTTTTTATACCTGCCATTGCTGAATTCATTGGCTCATTCTTGTTCACTTTCTTAAGTAAGCCATATATGGTTCAGTAGTAATCAAAATTTGTTAAGAGATTTTTAATAAATGCGCAAAAATTTTTTCTAACTTTAGCAGTAGTCAATTTTTATCAAATATTTCTAAAAAAAATAGTTTCGAAAATTTTTTGTTTCAATTAAAATTTCTTGAATTTTAGGTATTTTTTCATATTTGCATAAAGCTAATACACAACTAATAGCATCACTGTTAGATGGTGTTGCATTGTACATATTGATGTGCTGTTTGGGACGCTTCAGTGGGGCTCATTTCAATCCAGATAATTTTTCGTTTTCCTTTCCTTTTTTGTTTTACTTCAATATATGGAGAAGAGGGGAATTGAAAATTGAGAATAGTTAAAAACCAATGATTGTTAAAAAGGGATAAAACGCTAAATTCAAAAATTAAAAAATTTGCTTTTATTCATAGGCGTGAAAGTCATTTTTAAACTTCTGATAAAGCGCAAATCACAATAATTATGTTTTAATTTTAAAGTTTAAAAGTATTTTTATTTGGAAATTTCAGCACAAACACTGTCAGTAATATTTGTTGGAAAATGTCGTTTAGCAATTGGATTTTTCATGATATTTATGCAATTTTTCGGATCATTTCTTGGTGCTGTTTATGCGCAATGTATTCTGCAAGACAATATGTTTGCAATAGCAATGAATGCAGCAATAAAATGGTCTAACACGGAAATTTATTTGGCAAATCGTTTGCAGGTAAAATGCTAATTGATACCAATTAAGATAATGTCAACCTGTAGCAAGTATATTGAAAAATTTTGAAGGTATTCATATTGGAGAGTAAACTTTTTAAATAATATAAACCACATTGATATTATCCTAATTCATATCTCAAATACAACTGATGAAAACTTTTTTAGTAAGAGAATAAAACTAATACATTAATTAATGAATTTGAGTAAAAAATAATTGGTTAAATTCCAGTGTAATATTTGCAGTATTTTTTCATGGAATTAACACTAAGTACATTAATTTGCTGTGCTTACCTGTTCACAGGTATTATCAATCATGGTAGGAATGGAGCTTTGTGTGCTGCAGTTGTATCTGTCACACGGGTAAGACTGTTTTAGTATTTGAATTATTCATTTTATAAATTTAAGCTTATTTGATCCTGCAACAAAAGATTAATAAGTTATTTCTACTCTTCTTCAACTGGATAAAAATTGCTTATTAATTTAACAGTTCAAAGAACAGAATTAAAATTTCAGGTCATTATTACTTTTATTGGATGTTCTATTATCGGTCAAACAGCAAATCTGGCAAGAAATATTGGCTTAACTTCTACAGCATACATATTTCTATCCGTACATGATGAATGGCGCTTCATTTACGTGCCCTTTCTCGTTGATCTCATTTCCGCTCCTATTGCTGCCTTAATTTATTGGTTCATTCTTTCAGTTTTTTTTTTTACTATAAATTAATTTATTTTAAGCTTAGCGCTACCTGTTCCATTCTTATTTCCATTTTTAATTATTATAGTATGAATACCTTTCGGATAAGTCTACCAGTTACTTCCAATAGATGGCAAAAAGAGCATGAATAGGTTTCTTTTGAAATTATATATTTTCATTAGTATTAACAAATTCATCTTATTTTCTTTTCTACTCTTACATAAACTTTATCATTGAATATTTTAGGATATCAGTGAAATATGCAGTAGGAAATATTAATAGTATGCCGAAAGATTGATTCAATTCATATTGGTTATACGATCAAAAATTCCTTCCCGACAACGTACCGTGAAATGTAATATTTAAATTGAATTATTAATTTGAAGCATTTTTTGTGATTAATTATTGCTGCAAATTATAACCAAATTAGATTGATTCAGTTCGTTTTTATGAGGTTGAGATGTTGAGAGTTTTTTTCTTTAATGTATTATATTTCAGCATAACAATAATACTTGCGTCACACTTCATTTTATTTATAATTAATCAAAAGTTTTACATCGGCTTCAGTTGCATGCCATCTAATCGATATAAAAAGAACATTTGTAAATGTGATTTTTAGTAAATTCTCTGCAAAGATTGTTACTCAAAGAAAAAAAAAATATAATGAAATTGGTGACATCAAAGAAATATCGATGTATAAAGCCGATAAATGCATAATATCCTAATACAAGTAAAGAGAACTACCTTGCAGTATATGTCTTTGCTAATTTAATTGGTTTCACAGACACAGCTGTTTCACAGACAAAACATATTCTTCGTGGAAGATTAGCAGTAATACAATATGACAATTATAGTGATGAAGATTTCTTGATTCGTGATATTGAAATAATTGTTTCTAAATCGGATTGAGTCTCGTCGCAACTGCGATCAGCAATCGCGCGGCAAAAGAACATGGATGGTGGGATTGACCTGAGAATGATGAGTAACACTTTATATACCCTCATTAGATTGACAAGCATTTGATGTAGCCGACAGTTTTATACTCGAACAAAGAAGTCACAATCATTCGATAGACGAACAAAGGATCGGATAAGCATTTGATGGATGAAACGAATGCAACAATGAATCGTCTAAATATGCAATCACGGATAACTCTTTGAACATACAATAGATAAAGCTAACGTTCAGACTTACAATAGATAAAACCAATAGCTAACTAACTGTCATATATTTGTATACTTCATTACTTTGTATACTTTATACACTTTATATTTTTCGGCAACAATATATAGATTTTTTACACTTTATCACATTTGTACACTTTTTCTTCTTACATTTTATCGTATTTTTCGGCTTTCGCTGATAATAAATATATAGATTTGTAGATTTCATGTGGAAGAATAAAGTGCATGAATTTATATTCCGTTGGAAAAGCCAGAAATTACAAGTCAAATGAGGAAATATTTGAGAGAAATAAGTAATTTAGCAAATTTTAAAAAGAAAGTGATAAAAATTAACAATGTAATGGCAATTTAGTTAATAGGAATTTTTTTTTTCTTTAGATGAAAGCATGAAAGAAGTAAGTAATATAGAGATGATAATAGAGTTGTTATTATTACTGTATTTTTTTTTATTACTATTACTTTACTGTGTATTATCAATCGGTTCAGAGCGTCAATATTCAATAAGCAGTACTATAGGAGGGCGGTGATGTCTTCATGTTCAAATTTGAGTTCTTATAATGAAGGCGGTAATGTCATCATGTCGAAATTTGAATGCAGTGTTCTTAGAATAGAGAGCAAATTGACAGTAAATTGACAGCAAAACCTTTAATAAAAGTGGTTTTACTGTCAATTTTTTTGGATATGTAAATTTCAGCTAATTTTCTTTTCTTAAAAATAATGTCATTTTTAAAAAATATAGCAATTGTTGAAATTGCATTACTGCTTATTGGTTGAAATCGCAATTCAGAATGGGTAAAAGAAAAGATAAAATGTCATTGCAATCAATGAAAAAGGAAATTGAAATGGTAATTGATACGATCATATTTGCTTGAAAATTTTTTTAGCAAATTCTATTCTTCAGTTTTTAATTTCACTGCTGATGGAATTATTTTCAGAGGGAACATCAAATTCCAATAGAGGAACTTTGCAATGAGTTAAAAGTTGATATCCATAAGGTAAGTAAATGTAAATAATATTGTGAAACTTTTTGCAAATTAGTATTTATGGCTAACATGCAAAAAAAAGCTAAACGTTATTCAATAGATGAGATGACTAATAATTCAATACGTACATTTAAATAACCCTTGACTCACATGATTGATATAATACCTTGAAATGTAAAATACGAAATTTTTTATCCATTCTAAGTTCGAATTTCGTACAATATACAAATTTTGATTTTGTTAAAAGAAAGCATGATCAGTTGAAGAAATAGGGTGATCATTGCAACTATCAATGATTACTAAGGATTGATAACAGAGGATTTTAGAGATCAGCATAGAATAGAATCACCGTAAAAGTTCAACTAATCTCAATGACTGGAAAATTGCTGGTAAAAGTTCAAGCATCAACAAACATTTAATAAATTCACTCGCTAAAAATTTGTATTGTTTAAATTTAATATTTAAATTTAACAAAGATGATGACTTGTTAGTGCTATAAGCTATGTTACATTTATTTTTTATAAGTTTATAACTTGAAAAATAAGAAATAAAAAATATTTAAACAGGGTCACTCGGAAGAGAAAGCAAATCAGTTGCTGGAACAATATGGTTTAAATATGCTCACACCACCAAAGAAACGATCAGAACTTATAGCAATGCTAAAATGCTTATTTGCTGGATTTAATTTTCTGCTATGGCTTGGATCGTTTGCATCTATCATAAGTTACATCATGGAAAGTAGACAGGACGTTGATGCTAAATTAGATAATGTTTGTAATAAATTGGATTTTTTTAATCAACTTTGAATATGAGGAAAAAAAGTTTATAAAATATGAAAGAAGAAAAGATATCTTTTCATTACAGCTTTATATGGGCATTGTTCTTGCGGTTGTTGTTGTCATCACTGGACTTTTTGCATACTATCAAGAATATAAAAGCTCGAAAATTATGGAAAGCTTTGCAAAATTAGCACCTCTCACAACAATGGTATGATAATAATGATAGCTAATATTATTGATATGATAATTGCTTATAATTGATATCAATAATTTAGGTATTGAGAGACGGGCAAATGAAGAAGATAGATGCTACATTAATTGTACCAGGCGATATTGTACATATAAAAGCGGGTGATCGTATTCCAGCGGATATTCGTGTTATCACCAGTTCTAGTCTTAAAGTTCAATTTGCTATCATATCTTATTCTAAAATCACTACCATTCCCGGCAAATTATCATTTCTATTCCTTAAATACAATATTATCAGATCATTTGTCTTTTTTTAAAATCATCTCTTCATTCATTTGAAGGTAGATTGTTCAACATTAACTGGTGAAAGTGAGCCGCAAAATCGTAGTCCCGAGTGTACTCACGTGAATCCGTTAGAAACCAGCAATCTGATACTTTTTGGTACCGGTGCTGTGGAAGGAAAATGCACAGGGATCGTGGTACAAACGGGCGATAATACGGTACAATTTGTAGCTAATCTCATCGTAGAGTGCTCATGATTGATTAATTTTAAATGATCGCTAATTCATTGAAAAATAAATTGAATTGTAAGCACATTGTTTCCAACAATTTCAGATGCCTTTTCTAATGTTTTATGCTGGAGCAAAAGTAATTTATGGGCAGAGTATTTAGCATATGACAAAGAGATTTCATTTCATGTAAAATTCAACTTAAAGCAGAATTAATTCTCAAAATTGAAAACATTTTAATAAGCATGGAAGGATTTTATTCAATTTATTAGATAATGGGGCGAATTGCCTACCTGACATCACGTGTTGATTCCGGAAAAACACCAATTGCTCGAGAAATTGATCACTTCATTACTATCATTGGTGTTGTTGCCACGTTTATTGGCATTTTATTTTTCATAAGTAAACTAAAAGTTTGATTATTTAAAATTTTACTGAAATGTCGTAACTCGTCATGTTATCTTTTAATTAACTTTCAATTAAATAAGTCTAATTTTTTATTCCAAAAATTCCTCAAGAAGGTTAGAAGAAATAAAAGACCCAAAAATTTGTATTAAAAAAAATCAAATTTAGATTGTTTTTTCTGCCTCAAATTTTTTAGTTAGTATAATTTATGGATATACGTTTGTGGAAGCATTGGTTTTCCTCATTGGTATCATTGTGGCTAATGTTCCTGAAGGTATCATTGCTACTATGACGGTATATTTTCGCTTATAATCAATAGGTTTATAATCAACAGAATTTATAATCAATTTTTTTAAAAACTCAATAGATTAAAATGAAAAAGAAATAAACAATAAACTAATTAGAAACCTTACAATAAGAGGCGATTATTTAGTATAAATGATAATCCGACTTTATTTTAATTTTATAATATAAATTAGTAGTTGCTAATTTCAGGTCTGTTTAACTTTAACGGCTGTTAAAATGAGAAGGAAAAATTGTCTGGTGAAGAAATTGGAAGGGGTGGAAACTCTCGGTTCAACGTCCACTATTTGCTCCGATAAAACGGGTACATTAACACAAAATCGAATGACCGTTACCCATACATGGTTCGTTCTTGTCATTATTGATTAACAATGAACAATGATTTGATTAAAGATTTTCTAAAATTATTTCCACCAAAATTTTCCCTATCATTACAGGGTTAGTGGTAATATTTCTGAAGTGAATTTTCATGAAGCTTCACTCGAAATCAATAATTCTAAGGAATTGAATTTCAATCGTTTCACTGGAGCTTTTGGTGCTTTCTTACGGTGTGCAATATTATGCTCTAATGCTACATTTAAGGTTTAATTCCACTTTAAATTTTAACTCACATTCTTGTTGTGAAATATTTCTTATTGGATACAAAATAAATGAAATAAAACTATGTTAAAATTAAAATAAACAATTTCAGTAACTTTTACTACTCCTTCATGTGAAACAAGTTTCAAAGTAATGAATAATTTTTAATAAATCTAATTTTCACTTTAAAAATATTTATTAATTATAAATGGTATTCCAGTGAGAAAAAAAGCTTTTTTCATTTTTTCTTTCGAATACATAAACTCATTCTCGTAGATTACATTTTAGTTAAATTCAGGATTGGTTCATGAAAAATATAGGTTAAATTAAATCAAATTACTCCTTCCTCCATTAATTTCTTTCGCTTCCATTTTAGGATGAAGATCGGAACGTTAAATTATCAAAACGTGAAGCAAATGGTGATGCATCAGAAGTTGCCATCTTGAAATATTGCGAATATACTTGTGGTGATGTGATTGCCTATCGAAAACTTTGTCCCAAAATTTATGAAATTCCCTTCAATTCAACTAATAAGTTCCAGGTAAGTCAAAAGTATCACAATTTTTCCAAACTTTTTGGTTTATCCATACGGCATGAAGTAAAAATACTTTCAAATTCTATTAATAGTATAAAGAAATGAAATTTTTTTTTTCAGGTATCAATACATACACAAGAATCTGATGACCATTTCATTCTTGTCATGAAAGGCGCACCTGAGCAAATTATTGCTCGATGTAAAACATATCTTCAAGATAGTGAAGAGAGAAATTTAACTAAAGAAGATTTGCAAATTTTCCAAGATGTAAAATTTTTTCAAAATTAAATAAAAATAATTTCAAAAACTTAATTTTTTTTTGATTTGTTAAAAATTTTTATTTTAAATCATTCAACGATATGATAATACACTAGAAAAAATAGCTTTCAGCAACTCTTTTTTTTCTTAACTTATTCCAGGCTTATGAATATCTTGGTGGAATGGGTGAACGAGTAATGGGATTCTGCGATTTGGATCTCGACCCAAGCAAGTATCCAAAAGATTTCATATTTTGCACTGATCCGTTAAATTTTCCATTGGAAGGTTTGCGATTTCTTGGACTCATCTCAATGATCGATCCGCCTCGACCTGCTGTTCCACATGCTGTTGACCTTTGTCAATCAGCTGGAATCAAAGTATACATTTCAAAAATAATTTTTACAATTGAAGCAATCTAAATCGTCTCTTCTATTTTACACTCTACTCTTATTATTATTGCTCATCCGTTGATCTCTTTGATATCTACCGTCTTTCCACTTACTGATTGATCAAATTTAACGTTTAGATTCAATCTTAATCTTATCAAAAGTATAATTCTTTTTTTAATATTATATCACTGGAAAGTTTGTAGCGTTAAATATTCTAAAAACTTGATCCTTTGGCAAATGTTACATTTCACTTAAATTCATCGAAAAAATCTTGAAATTATTGATCAATTTCAGATTGTAATGGTGACTGGCGATCATCCATTGACCGCCGAGGCAATTGCGCGACAGGTCAACATTATCAAGGAGGGAAATATGATTTCAAAGATAATAAATGATGATGATAAGCTGGAACGAAAAGTGATAAATGATGATAATAAGTTCGTTTTCGTGCAGCATTGTTTTTATAGCGTTAAATTGATTCTAATTGAAATGAATCCATTAATGCAATATGACATGATTTTTAGTTTTGAAAAACGCGACATGATTAATTTTAGTTTTAAAATTAATTTAAAATTGTTAAATTCACTTTTGTACTTGTTATCTGATTTAAAGATTTACAAAAGTTAGTATTTACAGAAATCAAGCAATGATTATACATGGCGAACAGCTGAAGAAATTATCAAACAAAGATTTGGACTATATAGTGAAGCATTACTCGTCTGTACGTAAAATTTGAATTGTACCTTAAAATGATAAATTTTTTAGAGATTTTTAAGTTACAGTTTTTTCGAGCAGCTACAATTTTAAACCTGTTCAATTTTGCATCATTTGTCGTTTGCTTTTACCCATTTCTTCGTCTGTCGCCCCAATTATTTAATTAGCTTACAAATCGTAATTAATAAATGAATAAACTAAATGATTAGAGATCTTCAAAAATATTTCCACATTGCAGATTGTTTTTGCTCGAACATCACCAATTCAAAAATTGCAAATCGTGGAAGCTTTCCAGGGTGCGGGACATATTGTAGCTGTTACAGGTGATGGCGTTAATGATGCACCGGCGCTTCGAAAAGCTGACATCGGTATATTTCAAAAGTTTCTTCCAACGATAATTTTGAATCAGTATAATGAACATATAAATAGTGAACGAATTAATAATTTTAAAATGTTTAAACAAGAATAATTATTTAATTTATATTATCTTACAGGTATAGCAATGGGAATTGCTGGAACGGACGTTTCTAAGGAAGCAGCTGATATGATTTTGCTGGATGATAATTTTGCATCGATAGTTACTGGGGTTGAAGAAGGTCGAATTATTTTCGACAATTTGAAAAAATCGATAGCTTATACGCTTACTTCAAATATTCCAGAAATTACTCCATTTCTATCGTACATTCTCTTTGGTATACCACTTCCGATGAGTGTTGTTGCTATTTTATGCATTGATTTAGGAACTGATCTGGTTAGATATTTCTTCTAAAACTTATTTTTCTTTCATGCTAACTTCATCATACTTTGAAATATATTACCATTGCTAATTATTCCTAAATTAATTAGAAATCATTGCTCAAACAATTAGAGCGAAATTTTAAAATGCTAAAAATGGCAGTCTTATTGTTCATTACGATTAAGGTCAGTTTTTTTTTTTTGAATTGGATGTCCAAATGATGTTTTATTTGTAGTGGCCAGCTATATCAATTGCTTATGAGGAAGCGGAAACGAATATTATGTTGAGACCACCAAGAAATGCCAAAGTTGATAAGCTTGTTAATGCCAGGTTTGAAAGTTATACTCCGAATTTTCATGAATTTGAAAGAGAAAATTATTTCTAACAACAAAAATGAAATTGGCATGGAATCGTTTATTAATAAATTTTGAAATTTTTTATTTTACAGATTAATGAATTTTTCATACTTACAAATTGGTGTCATGCAAGCAGCAGCCGGTTTTATGACATATTTTATCATAATGGGAGAAAACGGATTTCACATTCATCGATTACTTTGGATTCGTGATAAATGGGATGATCCGATGGTGGACGATCTGGAAGATAGTTATGGACAGCAATGGGTCCACATCTATTTATTAAGCAATCAATGATTTCTTTTTTTGAGCAAATTTTTGAATTAGATATTAACTGATTATTTGAAAGAGCTTTTTTTCTCCCTTAATTAAACATTTATTATAGACTTATAATGCACGAAAAGATTTGGAGCATTGCTGCCACGGGGCTTTTTTTTATGCAATTGTTGTTGTGCAATGGGCTGACCTATTAATATCCAAAACTCGTTACAATTCAATTGTACAACAGGGAATGAAGTAATTCGTTTGTTTAATTTAGTTCATTTTAACAAAAATTGTCCCACACTTAAAGGCATGCTAATTTCAGCTAGAATAAGCTATTCCAGTTTGAATTTAAGTTTCCTTTGAATGTAATCAAATGATTTATTTTAATTGTATGAAATTATTTAGAAGCAATCTATTTTGTGAGAAAAAATATTAAAGCTAAATGAATAATTTGAATCACTCTTCGTATTTGATGCTACATGAATTTCAAATCTAAATTTTTTGTAATTTCAGTAACTGGGTTTTAAATACGGGCCTAATATTTACTGCAGTGCTCAGTACATTTCTTCTTTTCGTACCTTATGTAAATAGAGTATTTGGACTAACCCCAATAAGGTACTTCATTTTTAAAAGGCTATCATATATATTTGAAAATTGAAGTAATATGTCCTTTTCTTACACAAACATTGTTGTGAAAAAATTGAAATAACTTCACCACAATTATCATAACAATCAAAACAAATGACAAACAAATTTGTGAATTATCATCAATTCCCACTAAATTTATAACCCGAGTAAATTCAACTGATTTGCAGAGATATAAGAGAAGAAAGCTAAACAATAAATTTGATTAATAACTTAATGAAATTATTGTAGGCTTAGTTGGGCAATGATCCCAGTATCATTTGCATGGTTAATATTTGTTTACGATGAAATACGTAAATATTTCTGCAGAACGAAACCTGATGGTTGGCTATATCGTGAGACTTATTATTGATAATGATACCGATGATATATCTTTCAATCATAAAAAACTATGATATCAGAAGTTACGTAACTAGATCACATCATACGTTACGTAACTATATCATGCCATACGTAAAATGTTTTACAGCTCAGTAAGCTGATAATATTTACATTGTCACGTTATTATCTTTTTCATCAGACAAACACTTTTCTGTTTCATAGGCTAGAAGATACCTTTCTCGATATTGACAAGAGAGATGAGGAAAATTGCGCAAATTGACTATTTTCCCACAATTCGTGAACATGAATACTACTGATTTTTATTAATATGAAATTTAAATAATCTTTTGCAAGTATTTCACGTATAAAATACAGAAATTGTAAAATTTAAATTCTAATCATAAAATATTGATACGAAATTTTCAAAAATTAAAAAATTTGATTATCGAATTTCGCCAGTTCTTGCACGCTTCAAACATTTCCGAATGTTTTTTTTTTTTTTTTACAGTAAATTAATATGGATTGTATATTGCAAAAATTTAAACATGCACCCATTAATGTTAACTGACCTTGAGAATGACCCATACAAGATGTTTCGGACATTTCGATTGTGGCAGTATATCACGATTCCAATATTATAAATTATCGCCATAATGTAATTAGTTCAAAACATGCCCTCTCAATCTTTTGATAATGAGCTATTATGATGTGAAATGAAAAATTGAAGTTTGATGAAACAGGCGGAGGTATGATGACGGTGGGGGAGCAGTTCTGGGGTGGAGAAAGAGATATTCAAGGAGTTCGGGGTGGAGAAAGACATGCCATATCAAGGAGTTCGGGGTGGAGAAAGGCATATCAGTGGTCTCAATCTTGTCACCATAAATCTTCCTTTTCGCAATTCAATCCGATGTCACTATACAGCCTATTATTGATTTCTATTGCAACCAGCAGCCGGCAATCTCATAAATTTTCTTCTATCTTTAAATTTTTACATATATTATTAGTTCAAAAATGGTACATACTATGCTAATCTCCCTTTTATATCATTAATTAAATTTTTAATAAATCACAAGAAAAAAAATTTTTTTGTTTGTAAAAAAATACCATGAAAATATGTAATTTCATTTTCTTCAATTTATCGCATATAATTATGAGAAATTATTACGCAGAATAAAAATTGACCTCTAACATTTAAATTAATTCCTTTCATATTCTTTCCAGGTACACTTCTTCCTAATTCCAAATATTATGAAGTTTTTGAATGTGAACTTTGACATATCACATTTTGACATTTTCCATTCAATGATAAATGATATCCTCCACTTTCCTAAGCATTCTTTAATGCGCAATAAGGAAAAAAGTCGCCGTTGATTAAATTCAAGTTGCATATGAAATGAAATGAAAAGAATGATAGTGATAGTAACAATTGGATCATTATCATTGTCTTCCTCCTTATCGTTATCTTAATCATCTTCGTAATCATTCTTATAACAATTATCACCTTCATAATCATTCTTATAACAATTATCATCATCATCATCATCATCATCATTAGTGTGTGCTGTCATCATATTCGTCCCGCTCAGTGTTTAGAGGAGGAATGGAACGAATAGAGAGAGGGAGAGAGAGGGAGAGAGAGAGAGAGAGAGGGAGGGAGAGCGTTCAAAGACGCCCATTTCATTTGTCTCGATGGCGCAGAAGGCCACCACCATCTTTTCATTTCTTCCTTACGCCATCTATTGTATTGTCATGTCTCCCTCATAAATACTTCAACATCGATGATGAAGGAGTGAGTGAATGAACCTTTGCTGAAGTCATCTCCGCCCTCTCTATCATTTTGATTTATTACCCGAAGGGAATCACTCGTCATTTAGATTTATGAACTGCTGCTGCTAATAGTGAATTAATGATGACATCGCTATTAATTCTCCTTAACATTCATCCCTTATATTATATATAAATACACACACACACACACACACACACACACACACACACACACACACACACACACACACACACTCCCCAAAGTCTTTTTATATAGAGATAATGAGGGATTTCTCGGGAAGAAATGTCTTATTACGAAAATAGTGCCCTCCCCTTGATCTCATTAATATCATTCATCAACTCTATATTAATCTCAAAATTTCATTTTTAAATTTCAATTTAAAATGGGAATTCATGGATACATGTATGCATTGAATATTATTTTTTCTTTTTACTAATTAAATAATAAAATGATAAAGCTATCATTAGCTAGCAGTAGTTGTTTAAATCCGATCGAAAATAATTAACGAATACAAGTAAAGAGGTGAAATAAAAAATGGAAAAGATAGGATAGACATTTATCCGATCGTCTCTAATTGAAGTGTTCCGAAGAACCGATTATGATTGGTCATTTATCAGCTAAGCTTTGAGTTTTATGCACGTATGCACTGTACTGTGTAATGATCATTGTAATTAATTAGAAACATGAAGAATATAAATGAAATAGCGCAAATTGTATAATGAAGGGAACGTGATATTTGTACCATTTGCGCTTGTTTTTTTATTTTAATAAATAACTCAAAATAGTTAAGAAAAATAAGCATATCATCTTTTTTTTTTTGTTATGTTATCATTTCAGTTTTTATTTGTTACACAAATATTCCGCAAATTATGAATCTAATATTCGATGTTCATAAATCGGTCATGCGAAAGATAATTTCGTGTAATTTAAAATTTCAATATTTTTCAGGTTCATTCAAAAATATTCCAGTAAATACTGCATAGATAAAATTGTATCGTTGATAGTTTTTTCTTCTTATACTGTTAAGTAAGTAATTCTTCAATGTAATTTTGGAATTAAAGTGTTATATCAAGAAAGAATGCTTATATGAATATGGATGTTCTGGAAGATAATAATCCGAGAAAAATGCCTGTTGAATCGGATAAGATGGCCTTGAAATCGATAAGTAAAAAAGGTTGGTGTATTTTAATGAATTGACAGATTGTTTGTTATTAAAGAAGAAGCGGATTCTTTTTGATCTTTGTCATAATTGCTTTGAAATTTTGTTCTATAAAATTCAACCTTGTCAGTGTAATAATTTGGAGGGTAATTACTCACAGTTATTTACGCAAGATTCATTTGAAATTCAAGTGTTTCATTGTGACAGCTGAATTATGGAATTCATTTCTCACGGAGAATTTTTTCTTTCAAAAAAATTTCGTTAATATAATTGTTTGCTTATCAATAGCTCTCATTTCTTTTAAATTTCTTGTTTAATTTTTCTTTAAAACTCCTTAATTGAAATAACAATTTTAGCATTTAAAAAGTCTTTGTTCATAGCAAAGTTTGAGCTTTTACGAGTGCTTTATCAATAAAGATAGGAAATTCATTCGGGATTTTTTTTCTGCTTAGTTTCATACATTTTTTCATCGTTGGGAGTAGCTTTTTTTTTTAAAAATTAGAAACCGGTTTTACCTTTTCAACTATTCTTTCGTCACATCAAAAATTCGTACTATTGATTGATTGATATCAATTAAATACAGTCATTAAATGTTACCAGAAAATATTTTTAAAAATCACATGAATCTAGTAATTTCAGATCAAATATTTCAAATCATCAAAAATCAAACAGAATTGTTTAGTTATGAATTTTTCCTCTTTTTTTTTTCTTCCTTTTTTTTAAAAAAAAGAAAAATAATGGTGCAGTTTGAAAGATGGTTATGTTGTAATAATGAATGGAGTGAAATGATGATTTTGGTTGGATGATTTTAGTGGCTGAGAGTTTTAGATTCCCGAGGATAAAATGTTGCGGGAAACGCCAAAATTTATGTGAATTATCAATCAAAATTTTCCTCGACCTGTCAGAATAATTGGTTAAAATGCCTTTTCGACCCAGTTAAACGCATTTGTTACCAGCACCAACTGTCTCATCCCTGTGCAGCACTTCCACATCATACTCTCCGGGGGAAGCACTGAAATGAAATTTCAATTACAATCATCTATTCCTCCCTCCCTCCCTCTCTCTCTCTCTCCCTCTCTCTCTCTCTCCCCTTCTCTCCTAATACTTGGCTAAACATGCAACAATAATAACAAAAAAAAAGGAAATTCAAAAATTAATTGAAATGAACGAAGTAAGTTTTAAATTAAAACAAAATTATAATAATATTAATGCTAAATGTGATAGATATTCTCTGTTATTTTATGAAATGAAATTTGAACTTTTTTTTTTTCACCTTCACTTCTTTTCCCCTTTAAGAGATGAAATTTAAGATGAAAAAATGATGATTTCCACTTTAGACGCCAGATAGCGGATAAATTATGAACTGAACGAACAGATAAATCAGCTAAATTTGAGAAGGGAAGATTAAATAAATAATACCACTGAATAAATAATACCACTGATCAAATATTAGTATTAAAAATTTTTGAGTTAAAATTTGAAAATTGAAATTAATGTATTCTGTAGAGTATGTTTTTGATAAAGTTTGATGGATATAATTTAAATGTTTGTCACATTTTCTTTTAGGTGCTGTGAGAATTTTGTGATGACAGGAAGTTAAACAGAAAAATTACATTTAAAACAGGCAAATAAGCCGGCTGTGTAAGGCTAAAGAACATTTTGCAAAGATAACAAGAATGAGATTGACGAGAGAGAGAGGGAGAAAAGATTCATATCAAAAAGCAATGCAACTTCTCGAACATGTTTTGTATTAGCAAAACAAAATGGTTTTTTAAAGAGAAAAAAAATTGAAATTTTAGTCGATAAAAATAGGTGCGCAAATGGTTTTTCAAAAAAGTGAACGGTTCATTTAGGAATGATAATTAACAAATTCAGAAATTGTTAATAGTATTCTTAAAAAGAACAAATTCGAAATTATAGTGCTAAAAAAAATGATGTTTTTAAAAATTATTGATAATTTTTTTTTGCGATATCTTTGACGAATAATGGATTATTATTTACAATTATGTAGTAATTAAAGAGTAAAATGAAGTAATTTCCAGTTCTGTTCTGATTGCTGTTAGCTAAGAAAGATGAAATAAGG